TCATACTAACTGCAACCGTTATCAAGGCATCTCCTTGTTAAATAGTGAACATCTTTGCTCATAATGCCCCAGTTGGATTACAGACCCTAGCAGCAAGCATTTATCCTAAGTCTCACTGTGGCTTCAGGGCTGGCAATCAACAGTTAATATGATTTTCTCACTTGGCAGTTACAGGAATTGTACCATAAACTGCACAGTGCATAGTCTTTGTAGTCCTTACCAACACCTTTGATTGTGTCAGCAGAGACAGAAACCTTAAACTGCTGCAGAAATAAGCTAACTGCCTGGATTTCTAGCCATCATTTCTACTTTCGATGAGAATATTTTTTGTCAATTATATTCGAGCAAAATCAGGATCAACTGTGGGATGCAACAGGTATGATCTGGCACTAACTCCTTTTGGCAGCTATATTATCCATGGTGCTGTTATATATTTTCAGCGACACAATTCTCACTGTCTACCTGTATGCCTAAGCTGATGCTAAGGTGTTAATCTTGGCAAGCCTGCATGCCTAGGTCCAATTGCATTATGTCCTAATTCATAAATTGCTATTTGCTGATGACACTGTGCTGGCATTTAGTGCTGAGGTTCATTTGCAATAAGTTGTAGGTAGGTTCTCCTGGGTCTGTAGGGGATTTGGACTGACAATCGGTTACCAAAGTCCAAAGTAATAAAGAGCCAGAGACTCCGGTTTTGATCAGCATCAAAAACCTCACTCTGGACAGCTTCACAGACCTTGGACCAATAATTACAAGTAACTTGTCACTTGATGCCAAAATCAACACTGAGATTGCCATGGTGCAGCTGTCATGTCAAAGTTGAGAAGTCCCAACGGCAAACTAACTGAAAATATAAAAACAGAAGCTGCTGGAAAAGCTCAGGTGAATATTGAACATGGGAGGCAGTGGCCAGTGGTGTTATCACTAGACTGTTTGGATTGTTACTCCAGTGACCCAGCTATGTTTTGGGGACCCGGGTTCGAATCCCACCATGACAGATGGTAGAATTTGAATTCAGTAAAAATGTGGAATCAAGATGACCATGAAACCACTCTCGATTGTCAGGAAAACCCATCTGGTTCACAAATGCCCTTTAAGGAAGAAAACTGCCACCCTTACCTGATCTAGCCTATATGTGACTCGAGACCCACAGCAATGTGGTTGACTGTTACCTACCCTCTGGGTTAAGCAAGACATACCGGCAAGGCCAGTGATGCCCTCATCCCATTAATGAAGTTTTAAAAAGCATATTGCAGCAAGACAGAGTGCCAAATATAAAAGTACCCAAGTGTGCATGTTTGCTGTTTTCAGTCACTAGTGACTCCATTGGCTGGGTCATGTGAATAGAATGGATGACAGCCACATCTCCAAAGCCACGTGCTGTATGGCAAGTTTGCTAATGACACTGGACCAACAAGTTGTCTACATCTGTGGACTAGGATATCTGTAAGTAAAACCAGGATTGGGGTCAATGCGTAGGAAATCCTTACTGCTGGTCGTCATGCCTGGAGACAAATAGTCAGGCAGGGCATGTAAAAAGCAGAAGACAAAAGAAAATGAGCAGATGGCAATGGAAACTAAGGACTTTTGGAAAAAGAAAAAAAATCAGTCAACTTCAGCCCAGTGTTAGGCATCTGTGTCAGCTCCAGAAGGGACTGTCACTCAAGGATTGGCCTCTACAGCCACAATAGATGACATTCGGTCTACAAGTGTTGTATACCAATTGGAGTCCATCGTATATCAAGATGGATGAATGCATCACTCTGTCTCACGTACATAGATACATGACAGCAAGAGGATGGATAACAGAGTGGATATGGAGAACCAGTGAAGGCGGGTTATTATAAATTTCAAATTTATAAGAGATTCTTACGCAAATTAGGGATCATTGTATTGGAGGCAATATATTGGCCAGAATTGAGGACTGGTTAACAGACAGAAAACAGAATTGAAATAAATAAATAATTTTTAGACTGGAAGACTGCAGCTAATGGGTATCACAAGGATCAGTGCTTGGGCCTCAGCTTTTTACAATCTTTATCAATTACTTCAAGAGGAGCAAATGTAATACTAATTTGCTGATGATACAAAATTAGCTGGAAACATAAACAGCGAGCAGGGTAGCAACAAAGCTGCAAAAGGATTTTGGTGGCTTGAGTGAGTCGTACAAAAACATGGTAGACAGAATATAGTTGTCTTTCATTAATGGTGGAATTGTCAATATCAGAACTGGAAGTGAATGACACTTTGCACTATGGTTGGGACAGCTACACATGATCATGAAGTGGCCAGCTAATTAGCTGTGTCTGAATGAACAACACTGCAAATCATTTAGCAGAGACCAGCAGGAAGTCACCAGCCCAATCACTATCTCCCAAGGACAAAGATCCAGGCACCAGAATTAGAGGTTACCTGGACAGGCATTCATTTCCTGCAAGTTGGAAGCACCAGTAAGGCTATTGGTCTGGAGACATTTGACCTCTGTAGAAATGTACTGCTGATACTATCATTGTGTTTCTGCCCAGACAAGTGGCCTAACATGTCAAGTCTTGTTTTGCAGGGATGACACTTTGGGGGAAGCCTTCCCATCTGAGCAAAGTGCTGGGACAGCAATCACCCCTGTTGATTGTTATACAAGCCTATCTGGTTCTCTAAGAGAAGGGGACAATTAAGGATGGGCATTAAATGCTGGTTCAGCCAGTGACAAAACTTTCTGCAGCCTCTTTTCTGGTCACTGCATGGTGCTGAGCCAGCCTCCACTGGTTCCTTTGTAACTGCACCATCAATATCAGAAGTGATAGGTTAAGGTGGTGGCCACGTAATGGGATTAGCGTTCCTGAATGGCCAATATTCCAGGAATGTGAATTTGAATTCCACCATGGCAGATAATGAAATTTTAATTTGTTAAAAATCTGTAATTAAAAGCTCATCCAGTGGTGACAACCACTGTTAATTGTTGTTTAAAAAGAAAACCTTTCTTGTTCAATGATGTCCAATAGTCTACTGTTCTTATCTGGTCTGGTCTACATATGACTCCTGACCCACAGCAATATGGTTGACTCTTAACTGCCCTCTGAACAATTAGAGGTGGACAATAAATGCTGGCCTAACCAGTGACCTCCACATCCCATGAATGAATTTTTTTTAAAAATTGACCCATCATCATATCTGCCTAACGTTATTCATAAACTGCATGGAAAGATCTAGTCAGCCAATTATTTGAGGTTTTCCGACTTGTTGCTGCCCAATTGGATGCCCTATACTTAGAATTGCAGTCATCCTGTCCCCAACTTAATCTATCTTGATCAATATAACCTTGTCAGATCTTTGTCATTACCACTTCTTGTTGGTACAGCTATGTGTATGGACAATGGATCAGTAGAAATGGAAGCTATGACCATCCTGGATCTCACAAACACTTTTGAGTTTATCACCATCACCCTTGAAACACATTCAAACAACTTTGCCTTGCTCTCAGTTAAGTTCCACCCACCCCCTTATGAGCCACAACTGCTGATTATCGAGCTAGTTCCAGTATAGTGGTACTTTTCTCCTGCCCGATAAGCATCCTTCAATGGGGAGCAGCAGAAAATTCCACCAGTTATATGAGAAATTATGTATTTACTGAGTCTCATAGGAAAAATGGAAAAGCAGAATTCCGTATAGTCCCAACAGTGTGGAAGCAGGCCATTCAACTCATCAAGTCCACATCACCCCTCTGAAGAGCATCCGACCTAGACCCCTTCCCTATAACCCTGCATTTCCCATGGCTAATCCACCCAACCTACACATCCCTGGACACTATGGGCAATTTAGCATGGCCAATCCACCTAACCTGTAGGTCTTTAGACTGTAGGAGAAAACCAGAGCACCCAGAGGAAACCTGAACAGACTAAGGGAGAATATACAAATTCCACACAGACAGTCACCCAAGGCCGGAATCAAACCCGGGTCCCTGGTACTGTGATGCAGCAGTGTTAACCACTGAGCCACTGTGCCATGTTTGTAAATGGTGAGAAACTGGAATATGCTAGTAGTCAGAATGACCTGGATGTTATTGTATGTGAATCACAAAGTTAATATATGATTTCAGCAGGCTGTTTGGAGGCAATCGTATGTTAATCTTCATTACAAAGGGATTGGAGTATAAGAAACAAGCTGCCTTACTTCATTATATAAGGCCCTAATGAGATCATACCTCAACTACAATGTAGAATTTTGGTTTCTTTACCAAAGAAAGGATATGATTGCTCTAGAGAGAGTGCAACAGAGGTTCACTAGACTGATTCCTGTGTGATTATCCAACAGAGAAAGATTAAATAGAGCAGGCCTATATTCCCTATAATTTAGAAGAATGGGGGATGATCTAACTGAATCATAAAATGCTAAACAGACTGGATAGAGTAGATGCTTGGAGAATGTTTGCTGATTAGGCAGTCTGGAACTAGAGGTCGCAGTTTCAAAATAAGAAGTCAGCCATTCAGTTGATGAGAAGTTTCTCCATTTTAAAGGACTGTGACTACTACAAATTCTACATTGCAAAGAGCTATAGATGTTTGGTTATTGAGTATATTCACCAAACAGATGGATAGCTTTTGGATACAAAGTAAATTAGGGATGTGGACATGGAACAGGGTAGGTGAAGTTGATGCAGAAGATCAATAATTATCGGGCTTAAAATATAAATATCTTATTCCGGCTCCTATTTCTTATGTTGTAACTTTCATACACTTCATGTATCACCATGAATAGTACATGTGATTAAAGCAAATGTCTTACTTTTCAGGATGCTGTCTAACATTCATGATAATGATTATTATGTCTGCAGCATAGTCTGCTATACATTTCTTGTAGAAGGATGTTGTGTGAAGAACTTAAAGAAATGGAAAAATAAAATAGGTTTTTTTTATTCAAACATATTGGATATAATGCAAGAATGTTCTCATTATATTGACCTGAATATGTTTTGCATTGATTATTTGTAAATGTTTGTGTTCTAGATGGTGAGAAAGCAGATATTTCAGTAAATATTTATGAAGATATAAATATAATCACAGGTGCACTTAAACTGTACTTCAGAGATTTGCCCATTCCACTTATCACATATGATGCCTACCCAAAATTTATTGAAGCTGCACGTAAGTATATTGATTTTATTTTTATCAAATATTCATATTATTGACATATACTTTATATGTATATATATAAAAGTGGATTTAAATATTGTTAAGCCTGCTAAGACCCATCATTTGTCAATAACAATCTAGGTATTCTGTTCAGAGTTGGAAACCTTATTTCCAACCCTAACTGGGTTAAAAATTACCCATTTAACTTTGGATATCTTCTGCACTGGTTATTCTTGGACAGGAGATTCCTGTTACAAGGAATGCACAAAACCAGCAATGAAGAGAATCAGTGTGGAAGCAAAGTTCTGTTTTGTAGCAGTAAGTGTGCTGTGTTCTGTGATTTAAATGTCCAGCAGCACAGCCAAATACTTCAACAGCTCCTGTGAACGCTGGTATTTAAGCATAGATGGGCAAGGGGATTAGGGTGCCAAGTAGATGAGGGACCAAGGTGCCAGTTGGGTGGAGTGCCAGGTAAATGAATGAGTGTTTAGTATAGAGAAGTGTTGAGTCTGGTGGAGTTGGGGATTTTGGGTCTGATGGGTGAGAGGGTTTGGGGTGGATTCAGGGGGAGGTCAGGCCAATTGGGCCTGAAGGTGTCAAGCCAGCGTTGCGGGGGAGGGGAGAGTGGTGAGTGTTGGGCCAAAAGATGATAGGAATTCATCAGATCAGAAGTGGGTTATGGGAAGGGTGTTTGCTTCTGGGGTGCTTCAGGTTGTCAGATTGGAGTGTTGTTTCAGGTCAGGGGGCTGTCATTTGGATGGTGGAGGGGTTTAGAAGGGGGCCATGTCCACAAGGTCAGGTGGGAGAGGGCCTTGAATCAGATCAGGTTGCAGGGAATGATCAGGCTGGGTGAGTGATTGTCAGGGGTCCAGGGTGTCATGTGTCAGATGAGTGCAATTTTGGGAGTTCAGTGGTGAGTCAGGGTTTCACTTTAATAACTACCCAGGAGTTATAGTAGGTTTTTGATCCTTGGTAACTATTAAACTTAAATAGGTCATAACCCACAAATTCTCCAGCTTCGTTGGATTCTCTTGGAGGGCTCTAGATGCAGAGAAACTGTGCATCTGAAAATTCTGTTCCCTGGGCAATTCCCATTGTGTCTGCTGTCAGGGATTTCACACAGTTCCATCACTCAACTCTGTCTGCGCAGCTCCAATGACTCTTTGATCTTTAGAATAACTGGGATAATGAGTTTGTCAATTTGTTTTTAAGCTGTAATTGCCTGGGATGTCTTTAGGTGGCGCTCTGATATAATTTACAAATTCACTGAATCATACATTTGTTACACTTTCCAATCAGAGAACCTTGTGACTCTATAGCTTTTTGCATTCTATCGGCTATTTCACACATTGGCCACCTAATGGCTCAATACCAGTGTAGCATCTGTAAAACTTTACGAATGAGGTAAATATATCTAACATCATCATTCATATATCTAAAGATCACTGTAAAACCACTCTATAGTCTTCTTTGTTCTATAGAAACAACCAAATTTGCTCCAGACAAGATTTTCCAGAAATCATAGATATGACTGGAGAAGTGAAATAGGAGAAAGCTGGAACTGATTCGCACATGTAAGAGTTTAGGGTCTTACAACTCTAACTTTGTCAGTCTTTAACCACTTAAAATTCATTTATCCTTTTAAGACTATAACCGTATAGGCAATGAGATATAGTCTGGTATTGCTAGCAACAAAAATAATACTAATTTAAAGTTAGGGAGCGCTGTTATTGTTTCTGTGTGGGTCTTGCCTCCCCATTAACCTTGGATTCAAGCGGGCACATGGTCTCCTTTCCCTATCACTTCAATTTTGGCAGTTTGGTATGCATTATCCTGTCTCTTAAATACTCAACTTTATACAGTGCGCACATGTTGCCGGCAGCTGTTTTTCTAATCCGTTCTGGTGGTCAGTTCATACTCATGATCAATGGCATTCCTCAGACACTGATTCATGAAGTACATGATTAGTCACTGGTTTTGTTTACAGCAGGATTCACCTCTAATGCAGCAGCTATCATGAGAAAATCTCCTTGTTCACTTATCTGAGATATGAAAGTAGTGTGCAAGGTGCCGTTCATTACTTTGAGACCCTTCATTCTCAGTGTTTAACTGATGTATAGGTATCAATATTGTATATCTTATAGAATTTTCAGTAAAATGAGTGCTTGTCAATGTTTGTCTGAAGTGACTACATCACTCGTGGAATTTTTGTATGGAGCTACCAATGCTGGATATGAATTCATTAAAATTGAAAACATTGCAAAAGAGTACATGGCATATTTCAATGGTGTAAAGCATTTAGATTAATACAGAAGTTATAAAACTACTTCATACATAAAATGTGCATATTTATGAAACCAATATGTACGTTGTGTAAAAATGAGGTAGCATGATACTCTTATGAAATACAATAGAATACAATCAATTAATACACGTTCATAAGTAACAAGCATAAATAAAAGACTACAGGTGGAATCTTATAGGGGACTGAGTGACATAGGTTATGGCAAGGTATGTGGCAGAATTGGGCGATAAGTATGGCAAGGCCCATCTCGATGTTGGGAGCAAATCATGCCTTTTTTTAATGCCTTTTCAAGCAGCGTGGCAAGATTCTCGCCAGACATCAGTGAAATACGAGTTGACAACAATTAATGTTTGTTAACTGCTTTGTTCATGGCACAATTCATCTCATTTATATTCAGCCTTTCATCTTACCAAACTCACTAAATGAGCTGAACATGAGGAAAACTCGACAAGGAAATCAGAGCAGGCATCTGGTGGATTCAGCTCACCGTATGCACTGGTGAACTGCCATGTTGGACACTGGGCACCAACATCACAGGACCACTTTTTGGGCACCACCACAGACATCGACATCTCACCTGCCAGACTCTCTAACTCTCATGGCACATCTCCAATCCATTTATAGGAGACTTCTGTACTTCAGTTCTGCAACTATCATTGTAATGCAAGGATACTGTGCACTCAAAGACACACACCAAGCTCATGGATTGGAGCAGACTGCAACTTTATGCTGACTGCCTGTTGTCATAAAGTTCACTCACTTTATTCCTATTTGGATGCTCACAGCTAGCCTACCTTTCATGGCTTTGCCTTTCCTTTTTGCACTTTGCCCCCTCAGCCAGAGATAACAAGCTCATTTATTGCTGTCTTGCTGTGCTATTTAGTACAGGCAAAATGTCATGAAGCTTGACATTGTTGTCAGCAGGCCTCAGTCAAGTCAAGGCAATAGCCTTCACTATGGGGTTCCTGTCACACTAAGTCCAAGGACAGACTCCAATATCAGTACAGGCTGAGCTCAGGGCCATCAGAATCAGGATCTTCCCCTGATGAGGGGTGAGAAGTCAAAGGACAGGCAAAACATCACTGCCTTGACTCTTTCTCCCTGTTGTGGGCAGTTTTCCTTATGGAATGAGATAGAGGTAAGTATTACAGGGAATGAAAATGGGTGACACCGCTATTACTGTTGGTGCAGGTGTGAAAGTGTCTCAACCAAGTGAGTGGGCATTGCAGAGGGTGTGCAATGTTAGTGATGTTGTGGGTTGGAGTGGGTTAGGACAATTGGGAAGATGATGCAGGCAATAATGAGAGTTGTAGAGCGAGAGCCTTGGTCTGAGGTGGGTACTGTAGAAAAGATAGTGTGAGTGTGATGTATTGGAGAGAAGATAATGCCACACACTTGCAGAGTGGAGAAGGTGCTGGGCATTCCTCCAGATGGTTGAGACTGCACAAACCTCGGGGGCAACCTCAGACCAGGCTGGCATTGTCAAGTGTCATAGCCTGCGCTGCTGGTCTTGGGGGAGCAGGAAGCCTGAATCATCCCATCCTGCAGGACCTCCAGTGCTCTGCCTGTAAAGCATGGCACTGATTTCCCTGTCTGTCACAGTCAGAGAAAATGTCAGCAACTGTGCAGGTCCGCTCCGGACTAAAAGTGCTTGTCCTAGTGTACACCATGCTTTTAAACATGGCATGTGTGCAAGACATGCTAGTGAATTATGGGATATTTGCTGCATGACAAGTTATTCTGGGAGCGGCACTTATTAAAGATGGGTGGAAATGGGACATGAGAGACACCGTAGGGGCATGGCAGGTAATTAATAAAGCAAATTTGGTAAGATATGGCGAGAGAATTCAGTAGGCCTTTCAGTGAGAAACCTTCCAAAAAACCAACACAACTCAGAGTTAGTCAGAAAAATGTAAGCAAACGAATCACAGAACTTGATTCTCATGCTTATAGTAAAAACATGATGCAAAGGACTGATATATAATTTTTCCTTGAAAATGACTGCTTCTTAAGGCATTTCTGTGCACTTAATGCGTGCAATTTATTGCCGTAGTGAAAATGTAACTAATATGAAACAACTGGTCCAAGCGGAAGATTCTGATACTTGTCTTATTTGTCAGGTTTCAATGGTACATTTAATGGCAAGTGACTTTGTGTATGGGTGCAGCTGCAGACAATGAGCAATCAAACTTTGCCTGTATTCACAGAAACTGATGACATTTTACATTTTTTACTTCACAGAAATAACTGTAATTAAACCACAAACCATGGTTTTGCACATGAGCCTACGACCTATTTTTGTACATGTATAATGTTAAATTTCTCTGTTATGATATAAACTAATCAATCACATTTTTGAAATAATATTGTATTTAAAAATTTCTTTGATACTTCTCTTTAACGTTTTGAACTCCAAATCACTAGGCAATGGTCTAGTGGTATTATCGCTGGATTGTTAATCCAGAGACCCAGATAACATTCTGGGGACCTGGATTTGAATCCCACCATGGCAGATGGACTTTGAATTCAATAAATATCTGGAATTAAGAATGTTTTGATGACCGTGAATCCATTGCTGTTTGGCAGAAAAACCCATCTGCTTCACTAACGTCCTTTAGGGAAAGAAACTGCCATCCTTACCTGGTCTGGACTACGTGTGACTCCAGACCCACAGCAATGTGGTTGACTCTT